ATGATCATCCTCTCATTCGGTATTCACTTACTTTCTTCTGCTCGCGTGATCACAATTATTCGATTCTAAGATCACATTTGCACGCATATTGGGCCATCCTTATATTGCCGAACCCTGCTTTTAAGAAAACTATCATTTAAAATTATTTTCAACCAGCCAAAGTGGCTAGTGGGATTGTCTGTCTAACCCGCCAAAGCTGAAATCTACCCGCATTTGGCGGGTTGGCGGGTGTTTATGTAAAGCCCTGATAAGGTGCATTACGTGCCAGAACGCTGTCTTTGTTTTGGTCTCTTTAATCCGCCTAATGCCACTTCAGCCAATTATATTCCAGCACCCCGGGTTGCCTTGGTGGAAAACTGCGCATTTCATTCATTCAGTCAGGAAGGCCCTCAAAGTATGTGTCCGCGACCAAAATGTGACCTTCAGTGGACAGTAGCAGACTCCGAAATGAGACGCAGATTCAGAGTTCCATATGCGGTGGTTATTACTTAGCAAATAATATAAATATGATGTAAACATTAGGTGAGCAGGGTACAATATAACCACATGTCCTAACAACACGCTATGTGACGAGGTTTGCAGTGATAAGCAATTTGGCACCAGACACAACTTAGCAAAAATTTAAATACAGCTATTCAGGAGCACAGAATAGTGCACGCACTGCACTCCAACGAAATGGTCAGGTTTATAATCTAATGAATACAAATTAAACCTCTTTGTGAAGTTTATTCATAAACAAATTTCGAGAGGATCAGGTGCTTATGATTGTTCGCAGCTGTTCCAACTTTAGCTAATGACTGATTATCCTATCAGACGATCCTTAACTCACTATAAATAACCAGACTTTTCTCATCTCAATATCTTCGTCTCGAAGAAACCCCCCGCCCCCCACGCCCAACCCTACTTTCCCTCCTTTCAAACGGGCGTCACGGTGGTCAGCGATTAGCGCTGTTGCCTCACAACAAGAATGCCCCTGGTTTAATTCCTTTCTAAACCAGACAGCATTTCTGTGCAGAGTTTGCTCGTTCTCCCCGTGGTCGCGTGGGTTTTCCCTGGGTCCTCTGGTTTCCTCCCACAGTTTACATTTACATTTTTTACATTTAGACACGGTTGCTTCACGATTCGGGAGCGCGCATGCGTTTTAAGCAGTCGCGCATATCACATCAGCTGTTAGTGCGACTGATGATCATCCTCTCATTCGGTATTCACTTGCTTTCTTCTGCTCGCGTGATCACAATTATTTTACTTCTCGATTCTAAGATCACATTTGCACACATATTGGGCCATCCTTATATTGCCGAACCCTGCTTTTAGGAAAACTATAATTTAAAAATTATTTTCAACCAGCCAAAGTGGCGAGTGGGATTGTCTGTCTAACCCGCCAAAGCTGAAATCTACCCGCATTTGGCGGGTTGGCGGGTGTTAATGTAAAGCCCTGATAAGGTGCATTACGTGCCAGAACGCTGTCTTTGTTTTGGTCTCTTTAATCCGCCTAATGCCACTTCAGCCAATTATATTCCAGCACCCCGGGTTGCCTTGGTGGAAAACTGCGCATTTCATTCATTCAGTCAGGAAGGCTCTCAAAGTATGTGTCCGCGACCAAAATGTGACCTTCAGTGGACAGTAGCAGACTCCGAAATGAGATACAGATTCAGAGTTCCATATGCGGTGGTTATTACTCAGCAAATAATATAAATATGATGTAAACATTAGGTGAGCAGGGTACAATATAACCATATGTCCTAACAACACGCTATGTGACGAGGTTTGCAGTGATAAGCAATTTGGCACCAGACACAACTTAGCAAAAATTTAAATACAGCTATTCAGGAGCACAGAATAGTGCACGCACTGCACTCCAACGAAATGGTCAGGTTTATAATCTAATGAATACAAATTAAACCTCTTTGTGAAGTTTATTCATAAACAAATTTCGAGAGGATCAGGTGCTTATGATTGTTCGCAGCTGTTCCAACTTTAGCTAATGACTGATTATCCTATCAGACGATCCTTAACTCACTATAAATAACCAGACTTTTCTCATCTCAATATCTTCGTCTCGAAGAAACCCCCTGCCCCCCACACCCAACCCTACTTTCCCTCCTTTCAAACGGGCGTCACGGTGGTCAGCGATTAGCGCTGTTGCCTCACAGCAAGAATGCCCCTGGTTTAATTCCTTTCCAAACCAGACGGCATTTCTGTGCGGAGTTTGCTCATTCTCCCCGTGGTCGCGTGGGTTTTCCCCGGGTCCTCCGGTTTCCTCCCACAGTTCAAAAACAAGCACTCTAAACCAGGGGCGCAACTACACATTTACTGAGGGGTATGCAGGTTCAAATTTCGTGTGATCCCTCTTATTTTATATTAATTAATAATAAATGAAGATTTGAGAACCAAATTTTTGAAGACAAATTTTCAGATTAATCTTATAACTTTTGACATTATGTATGATTTGACAGTTTATTTTGATAAAAATAAAAGCAAATCTAAACAGTTACATCTACATGAACACTTTAGGCTGTGGGACTGCATGTTATTGTGTTAAATGATTTTGAATTAAACAATAACAATATTATATTCGTTTAAAATGCAAAATAATGTTTTTTAACAAAACATATTTATTTATTTTTATTATTTGAAACTTTTAATAAGGATCATTTTAAAAATAGTTTTGGCACAACGGCGCCCCCCATGTGTGGCGCCCCTATGCGCCGCATATACTGCATACCCCCTTGTTGCGCCACTGCTCTAAACAATTAATCAAAATACAATTAAACAAAATACATCTACCTGAGCTCAAACTCCCCTCTCGCCTTGCAACGGGAGGGAGCCCAGGGCTCGAGGATCTTATAAGCTCAGGGCTCTCTCCCGGGACAGCACGCCAAACTAGCTTTACTATCAATCATCAGCTAAGTGTGAACTCTTGAAAACATTATTAAATGTAGATGCTGAATCTCTGATATGTGTTGGCCTGCACTGAGTCACAGTTCTAAAGTTCAATTTCAAACGGTTTGAATGTTTTTGGTACCTGAGGTGATCAGTGTCCGTTTTCTGTTGTTCAGCTGCAAGAAATCGAAGCCGTTTCTAAAACATACATTTCAGGTGTTGGTTAAGACAAAAACCTTTTAATATGGAAAAATAGTTCTTCAATCACATGCTGTTTATGATATGGGAAGATTAGGAGGCCATGATGGACAGTGGCCAGTTTGGCTAATTTTGTCCAGGATGCTGGGATTTTTAATGGCCACAGAGAGTCAGGAACTCGGTTTAACGTCTTAACCAAAAAAAGGCAAGGCAAGGCAAGGCTGGGCTGGCCCACCTGGGATGGCCAATATTATTATTCATCATAATACTTTACATTTAAGTACAACAGTTTTCTTGTAACTTTTTAAGAACAGTGCCATTTTTAATCAAATTTTAAAATCACATTTTAATTTAAACGTTGATGTTTTATTTATCTTTATTTTGTACCTGTAAGTGTGATATTGTTCAAGCTGTTTATTATGTTTAAAGTGGCTGACAATAATACATTTTCGTAATAATAAGATTTTATCTGCCACATTTGTGAACTGTGCAGAGCTGTAGCCGCTTATTTAGGCCTACCATGTATTTCAATACCAGTCAATATGGTGGTACTTGGATTTAAAATGTGCTAAATAATTGTTCTTTAAATAAACAAGGAATTTAAATAATAAATATAAATAATACAAACAATACAATAAAAAACAAGGTACAGAGGCAAATGTCCTTTCACAGTTTTTACACTTATTTTACTGTCATTATTTTGTAATGTGCTAATCAAACCTTTTAAAAACCTGCTAATTAGGCAGTGATGAAGACATTTTACCTTTCTGAATATTATATTTACCCATTAAATTAATAAATTGCCTATACTGTTAAGTTTATCCTGAGAAAAGTAACAAGTTCTATCACACAAATAAGAAGCAATGTTAAACTTGCATTTTGAAGTAAAACAAACGAACACAAGTCGGACCAAAACACTTGAACATGGGTGCATTTGGCAAAAAGATTGACAAAGTTCCCACTGATTTATTTATTTATTTATTTTTTATTTTTTGCAAAAAAACTGTTGACAGGTTTGTAGCAATATTTGTTTACAATACAGAATATAAATTACATTGTCAATAAAAAAGAGATATGAGAGAGAAAGACAGAAGAAAAAAAAGAATAAAGAACATGATATAAACTTGAGGGTAAGACATTTAAGAATCAAGAACAGTACATAAATTAAAGTCATTACAAAATGAAATAGTTCTGTTTGCTTTCTTATTTTTAGATAATGAAATTAATTGTATATAATGACTAAATTCTTGCAAAAAACAAACAAACAGGAAAATATGGTTTAGTATTAGTACATTTGCATTTGTGGATATGGAATTTACAAAGAAAATAAATTAAATTTATAACAAAACAAGCATTTCTCTTAGTAGGGGCAGATTCATAATAACCAAAAATAATTTCTTTAAAAGTAACAGAAACGTCTTGTTGTATATTATCATTAATAAATAATCCAGTATGTTTGCAAAACTGTACAGCATAATTACACTCTCAAAATAAATGAATAACAGTAAGTTCCCACTGATTTTTATTTATTTATTTTATTGAATACAAGAATAATTACATCAATGCATTAAGGAAAAATACAATAACAAAAAAAGAAGACAGAGAGAAAAAAAATACACAGCCTCAATCATTAAGAAAAAAGTTTGTCATAAGCTTTAAGAAACTTATTATTCTTCTTATTTTTAATAAGCTTAAGAGATTCAATATTGTACGAAATTTCAACAAGGAAAGTATTAAAAATAGGTATTGTTTTTAGAAACGTATTTTTGTGTATAAAAAATTTAAGTTCCCACTGATTTTAAAGGCATTTGGCCTGCAGTGTGACGTCATCGCTTCCGCCCTCTCTTCATCCTCCTCCTCCTCCTCCCGCTGCTGCTCTGCTCGCGCTGTTGCTGCACAATAATCCAACATGGAGTAATCAGAGATGGGGCTCGTCGGGGCCACCTCAGCTACAGCAACACTCCTTCCAGCTGCAGCGTTCTCGGAAATACACACAAGCACTCAAACCGGGGGAAACGATCCGAATTAAGGCTCTTTATTCCGAGATACTCCTCCATCAGCAACTGGTTAGGAAAAAAGGAGTGGAAAAAAAAGAAAAGAAGCGAAAAAGCCATCAAGACGGAGACGAGGAGAGGAGAGGGAGCGACAAGAAGACAAACACACAGCCGAATGTGATGGATTATTTTGGGGGAAAAGAGTCTGGAGTGAGGCGTGAAGATGACGAACAGACCGAGCGGACCCGCTGTGGGATTTATGTGTAGGTGAAACGAGAAAAATGATTGAAGAAACACACCCAAACGAGTAAGTACCTGGACAGAAATGCCTTGTTTTTTTTTAAATGTGTGTCTTTGTGTGTTTGTTCGGGATGTTCGTCCGCCTGTCATGCGTTTTGGGGCTGTAAATCAGTCATGTGGAGATTGTGCTGGAAAAGTTTGGTGAAGTATTTGAGGGTGAAATGTGGAGTGGTATTGTCAGCGGACGGGGGGGATCGGGCCCTCTCCCACCGACAGACTTGACTGAAGGAAGGAAGGAGGGAGGGAGATGGAGTGGGGGTGGATCGGAAATATTTTGTAAAGGGATTTGATGTTTTTAAAGGCCCTTCCTTCAACATTCCTATGTGTTTGCACGTCACATGTTGTTTTGCGCAGCAGAGCCATTTTGTTTGTTTGTTTTTTTTTAAAAACAAGTAAGCTTGCTTAAATATTTACTCCTGAAAAGCGAAATGAGTTCATGTTCTGCAAAGTGTGTCGGATGTATCCGCCAAATGTCCGTTTTTTTTCTCCTCGCAGACGCTTTGAATCGTTCTCATTTGCATACAGTGCTTCATTCATAAAACACCATTTGACTGTGTTAGCTCGGTGTCAACGCGTTTTATATTTGAGAAAGATTTAATGTTTAACCTTAAATTGAGTCTGTAAGCAACGTGGACACACGACTAACGTCGACACTTCCGAGATTTTTATGTGCAGATTTAATCGACGTTTTATCGTCAGTTAGGCCACGTACTGTTATTTGTCATCTCCTCGGCTTTATGTCCTAATATCGTGGCCCTCGGTGACAGAATGGCTGTCACACGTTAACAATAGCGTCCTCGCGGATGAATTGGAGTCAGTCTGCCAGCGCTTGTCAAACGGAAGGGCGAAGGGCAGAGGAGTTGTTGTTTGCGCTCATTCATAAAAGCTGTAACCTTCAGCCGCTCCATTCATTACTGCAGAGATCGCTCCAGCGATAAGCCGCGGTCGGCGCACGTCGAAAACACACGATCAAAACCACTTCACACGTGTGTGTGTGTGTGTGTGTGTGTGTGTGTGTGTGTGTGTGTGTATATGTGTGTGCGTCAATGCTGTGCTCAATACATAAACAAACAAGTGAAACTAAAATGTGAACTATGTGATAATAACCTAGCAGTCCATCAAGTTAATTACGGAGTACTGTAATGTCAAGTTAAAGTAATGTCATTACTTCCAAAAAGATTAGTTTACTACATTAGTCATTAGTCCTTGTTGCCGCTTTGTGATTGTAAGGCATTTGGTTATAACGAGTTTAATAACTATATTCAGGATGCCTGTCACAATAATCAATCGACATATTATGATTGGGCATGTCTCTAACATGACATTTCATTGTATATATATATATATATATATATATATATATATATATATATATATATATGAGGACCTTTGTTTGTAACATCAAAATAGGATCTAAATAATCTTAAGAATGCTAAATATGAACGTGTTTATTTCTATTTGCAATATTATGCTGTTATATAATCACTATATACAGTAACCAGTGGCAAAGCTGATCCCAAAATGACAATAATATCGCTTATCGCAACAATTTCTGTGATAATAGCCTATATCACGTAACAAAAATTCCTTATAGTAACAGGAAGACAATTTAACGAAGTTGCGTAAAGTGAAATTTCATATGTTGCAGGTCATGATTTTATTGTACAATACATAGAAATCACATCAATAATTTTTACCATTGCAATATATATTTGCAAATTCACAAATAACGCCAAATTACAATGACATTTACATTCTCACCTGTATCAAAGTTTATTATTGGGCATTTACCTAATAGGACATTTAATAGTGTGTGTGTGTGTGTGTGTGTGTGTGTGTATATATATATAATTATATATTTATATATATGTAAAATAGGACATTTGCCTGTTTAACATCAAAATAGAATCTAAATAATCTTAAGAATGATATCCCTACTGAAAAAAAAACAGCTTATACCAGCCTTAAACCAGCCAAAATGATCCAAAAATGACAATAATATCAATTATCGCAACAATTTCTTTGACAATATATTGCATAACAAAAAAATCCTTATCATGACAACATTCAGACAATTCAATGAAATTGCGCAAAGTGAAATTTGATATGTTGCAGATCCTAAACTTATTGTACAATACATGGAAATCACCTCAATAATTTTGCCGTAGCAATATATATTTACAAATTCACAAATAACGCCACTTTACAATGACATTTACATTTTAGCTCATCTGTGTCAAAGTTTATAAATGGGCATTTACCTAATAGGACATTTAATAGTATATAATATGACATTTTCCTGTTTAATATCAAATTATAGAATCTAAATAATCTTAAGAATGATAAATTTGAACGTGTTTATGGCTATTTGCATTAATATGCTGTTATATAATCATTATATACAGTAACCTGTGGCATAAATGATCCCAAAATGACAGTAATATCACTTATCGCAATAATTTCTGTTTTAATATACTACAAAACAAAAATTCCTTATAGTATAGAAAATTTGATGAGAAATTAAAGTATGAGGTGATGTCAAATTAAAACAAAAAACATTCACTGTAATAAAAATACTGGCTTCCACACAACTCCTTCATGTTGTCCCAACATAAATCAATCAAGTTAACTGAATTGTTTTTACAAATTTAAGTGGATTGAACATAATACATTTAAGTTACCCCAAAAACACTAAAGAATTACATTTATTCAGCCTGTTTTAGATAAGTAGTTTGAACAAGCAGCACAATTCATTTTTTGAGTGTTGATCTATTAGGCAGAAGCGTCAAAACTGTAAGATTTGATGTTTAAATCTTATAAATGTGATTTCTTTCACTGTTTTAGAGCACACCAGATTAACCTGAGCACTAACATACTGATAAAAAACATGTAAAAAACTTCATTTTAATTTCACAGACTTTTAAATGTGCATAATTATGAAAAATTAAGTTAGGTCAATTTACCATTTTTAAGTTACAATGGGTTTACCCAGTTTTTTTTAATTTAAATTTTAAATTTTTTTTATATATAAAGTAAGTCAACTTGTTTCTTTCAAAGCAACAAGTTTAATCAACTTCCACACTTTACAATATAAGACACTAGGGCTGCACAATATACGGTTTTAGCTTTGATATCACAATGTGTAAATATGCAACAGTCACATCACACAACGTGCAATGTGGAGTCAAGATTATAGGTATAACAGTTCAGGAAACATTAGTCATTTCAGCTTAACCATAATAAAGTGATCATATTATTGCTTGTGTTTTAAGGCAGTTTAAGCAAGTTTAAAATGTTTGTGCACAAGGATTCATTACTTTGGTTGCTTTAACAAAGATTAATGGTATTTAATTATTTACACAATGAAGAACATACAGCACATTGTTGTTATTTTTGTACACTGTAAAATAATCCTGGTTGTCTTAAATTTTTAAACTGAATCAAATAAACTTATAAGTCCATTGAATTTATATTATGTTAAACTGACTTAAACAGCTAAGAAATTTAAGTTAGAGCCTGATTAACTTAGTTTAATAATTTACAATGAATTACAAACATACACTGTACAAAATGCAGGGTTCCACACAATTCATTCATGTTGTCCCAACACGAATTAAGTTCACTCAACACTTTTAACACATTTATGTACATTGAACATAAAAAAAAAAGTTGTTATAAAAATAATCTTAAAAATTGTGTTGTTGCTTATTTTAAATACATTTTTTTGAGTGTACGGTGTCATGACTAACTGATAGCATTTTTACAGTCTAGATGTGTACTGTTAGACTTCTTTATTTGTGTATTTGTTTATTATAGTTTATGCAACTGCACTCCCCTACAAAACCATCCCATCAATCTAAAATTATTAAGTTCTCATGAAATATTGCAATATAAATCATAGAAAATCAAAATATCGAAATGTACGTTTTTTACAATATCGTTTAGCCACATAAGACAAGTATTTTGTGTTATTTAATGTATTTACTAACATGAACAATAAGTTTATTAAATTTAATTTGTTTGTTGACGTTAGGTAATAAAAATACAGTCGTTCAATGTTAATTCACTATAATACTTTTTACAGCGTAGTCAATTTTTATTTTTAGTTACTGTAATCTAGATACGTCAGAGAGTAATGTTAGTTCTGCGCATTAACTAATGTTCACACACGATTTTTAATTTTATTAATGCATTAGTACATGTCGAAGTATGATCTTCAAGCATTATTTTGTTTCTGTTGGTAAATACATTAACCCATATTGTAATGTTACCAAAGTAACTAATAATTTTTTTTTAAACAGTATAACTACTTGTCCAAACTTATCTGATATATTTATTGACACGCTCACTTGATCTGTAGCAATAATTAACCTTAATGTCTTAATGAATGACTATGTTACACTTGCTCGCTCAGCAGTTTTCGAGCCTTATGTCTTTCTTTCTATTAATTCGATGTAATATTGGTCATGTTAGCCATTTAATACCCTCTAAGAGGATGTTGGACTGTATTGCTTTCCCTGGCTTTTGACCGGAAAAATAAAAGAGCTTTACTTAAATCTGCTTATTCTGATCGGATTGTGATTTTTATAGATTTTTTGAAGCTTAGTAAATCGAGGATTGACCATTGTTATGCCTCTGTGACCAGAAGTGTAAACTCACTGGCCACTTTAATAGGTACACCTTACTAGGACCAGGTCGGACCCCCTTTTGCTTTCAGAACTGCCTTAATCCTTCGTGGCATAGATTCAGCATGGTACTGGAAATATACCTCAGAGATTTTGGTTCATATTGTCATGATAGCATCACGCAGTTGCTGCAGATTTGTCAGCTGCGCATCCATGATGAAAATCTCCCGTTCCAACACATCTCAGAGGGGCTCTATAGAATTGATTGTGGAGGCCATTTGAGTACAGTGAACTCATTGTCATGTTCAAGAAACCAGAGAGATGATTCGGGTTTTATGACATGACGCGTTATCTTGCTGGAAGTAGCTGTCAGAAGATGGGT